AGGAAAGCATTCAGACAAACCACATTCCTTAGTTTGACCAGTTATAACCTTCATTGTGAAGACCCACTATGCTACACACATTGTAACCAACTACAATTATTCCCTTTCTCATTCTATTGGTGAGATGTAAATTTCAATTGAACAGCTTCTTCCTACAAACCACTACTTTGTGGAACTGAATCTCTAGAGGATGCTTCCCTGATCACTACGATCTCCATCTGTTAAAGTCTAGGGTTAACTGTTATCTTCCCCACATATCCTCATAAACTGTGCTTCTTAACTCTTACTCTGTAACTCTCTACCTCAAGTGGCATGTAGGACTTGTATGGAGTGAACATCATTGGAAAGACATTTTAAATGTATTGGTTTAAATATAAGTTAAAATTTACTTAGTCCATAACATATGAAGAGTACTGACCTGAAAACAGATGCTCCCATTTGTTGTTATAAAGCAAGTCCTGGTCAGAAATTCAAACAGAAATTCCTAATCTATACATCAGAATTTAAGTTAAAAACAATTTAGTTACACTTGAAAGGAACATTTATTTGGATAAGAGCAGCATAGTTTACTACAAAAGTTCTTTTTGATAATTGTCCATGCATTGAAAACAATCAAAGAAATATTTCTTGAAAGATGAATGTTGGAATGAAATTTCCCTTTCAGGGAAATGGGGAGAAAATGACAGCCATATATTCATGGTGTGAAGTCCAACATGGAGCAAAACAAGACACATTTGTATCACATGATGACCAGTAAAGATAGATATAATTTGTGGTGGTTGTTAAAAGATTTCCCTTTTTCACCTGGTTTCTGCCAAGGTGGTGGTGATGTGAGTGGAGGAGGCATTATTCACCTTCTCTAGCATATTCAAAATTTACCATATACTCGAACCAATTCTCACAACAGTCAAGAGGTGTTATGTGTGAATGAAATTTGTTGGGTTCTCCAAATTTCTTTTACTCAGTTTCACATTCCAGAAGTTAACTCTGAGTTTTTGTGGCTCTAATCTGTTGATTAAACAAAGTGGTGGGATATTTCCATGTATTTTGAAAAAAGATTTCCTTAGTTTTCCAGGTGGCAATCCTTTGAAATAGAACAAAATCTTGTTTATTACCAAGATAAAACTAAAAGTCTCTTGACCACGTAATAAAATGGCAATGTTAACACATTATTATCAGTCATAATGCTAGTAATCTTGCACTGAATAACTGGAAATGTCATTGCAATACAGAAGAGGGTATATCATATAATAAAAAGAATTATCACTGCATGTATATTAATAATTGGTATATCTATTGGTAGATGACAATGTTATTGTTGTTTCTGTGAAAATTAATTACTGCTGATAGCAAAAAACATAAGAAATTCAGAAAATAGTAAAGTTCTTTCAGAACCAAATACTCCCAAGCAGTAAAATATTTAGAAAGAACATTTTCTCAAACAGGACCATTTTATAAAACATTATTTGACCCTTTTCTCAAAAAAATCAGTTATTATTACTTGATTCTATCTGACTCTTTTTGTTTGGTATTTTCTGTTACTCAACACAAATGTTAGTAACAATGTTGACACCTACTACTACTGTCCTTATCACCATTCATTCTTCTTTTCTTTATTTCTAAGAAAAATATTTGAATCATTTTTTTAAAGAATAGATAACAGATGACCAATTTATAACAGACTATACACCCAAAATTGTATAGAGAAAATCTGTATTAAAAAATCCAGTCTTACAGTTGTGACTGAGTTAGTCCAAAGTTGTACTGAATTAAATATTCCTATAGAATTTTAAGTATAATTACTGTAGTGATATGTAGATTAACTAATTAACATATCTGGGATATCCAGACTACATAAGTATGCATGAGCATTGAGTAATAACACAGAGGACTTAGGACTTCACAACAATGGTGTCACCAATAGGATCCACTTTATCATTAGAGAATCCTGCTTTTGTGGATGTATAGATAAGAGCATCCACGGGAACAGCAAGGCTAAGAAATTAAGAGACAGCAAATAAACAGGAGGAGAAAATGAAATAACCAATCTTTTTTTGGCCACAGTTGGGATTGAAGCCATTATGAAAATTTCAGCACTGATTCACCCAATGCAGTTGGAAAGTTTGATGAAATAAGTCAAATAATACTGAAAAATATACAACCAAAAAATATGTTAGTCATTGCAGATAGAGCAAAATTCATGGATACGAGACAAAAAGCTGACAAATCAGTTACAAAATATTTACTTCATCTAAAAAATGCATCTTGATATTGTGAGTTTGAAAAACTCAGACAAGAAAGCCAAATGACTGAAGAAGAATTAATTCAGATGAGGTTAATTAACATTGCTATAAAATGTTAGAACAATTACAGCTAGAAAATATGGCTTTGATTTATTCAACAGCAGGAACTAATAGAAAAATTATTAGGTCAGAGAATTGAGCACATTATGTAGAGGTTTCTGACACTTACATGTTGAAGAAAACTCTAACAAAATGAATATTCTGTGGATATGAATGTAACATGAAGAAAGAGAAATGTCCTGCATTTGTAAAAAAGTGTAAAAATTGTCTAAAAATTACCCATTTTCAAGCAATGTACAGATTAAAAAAGAACTAAGAATGCTGATTTTGTGTTGATAAAAGAAAGGTAAATTGCATTTGATAAGCTAAAGTCAGTCCTTACAAACAAACCAGTAGTAAAAATATTTTACCCCTGAAAGGAAATTACAGTAAACACAGATGCCAGAAAGCATTAAATGAAGTTAATTATTCAAACATCAAGAAAGAAGCTCTCACAATTATTTAGACAACAATTAGGGCCCATCAATTCTTGATTAAAAAAAATTCTATTATGGTCTGATAATAGAGCATTAGAATTTATATTCAGTCCAAGAAAAGAACTACCCAAAGTTATGACATCAAGAATATTAAAGAGTATAAAAGTAAATTACATACTTGGCCTAAAGAGTTAGAAACATGGAATCACATTCAAGTGGAATACACATACATCAGTGGAACAGGAATTTTATTAATAATAGGGGAGTCTTTTTAAGGCTGGCCTGAAGTAATTTGTATGCCTGACAGAAGAAGTTCTACTGTAAAAGAAATTTTAAGAGTTATATTCTCCAGAAACGCGATGCCAAAAGTGATGGCATCCGATAACACCTCAGAGTTTTATAATGAAGAACTTAATTTGCGGCTAAGGAAAATAGTATGTACACCTTACAAGACACCTCCATACCATCCTAAATCGAATGGGCTAGCAGAAAAGATGGTACAAACCATAAAGATGGGTTTGAAGTTATGTTCAGAACAGAAAGAGAAAGTTTGTTTTTTACCTTGACTGCATTTAAGTTACCGCAGCATACCACATGCAGGAAGGCTAGAGAGTCCATTGGCATTAATGGGAAAACAAATCAGTGCTCCTTTAACCATGTCATATTCTATGAATGAGAAAACATGGCACAAGAAAAATAAGGAGACACTGCCAAAGAAGGAAATTTTTTAATACAAAAAGGACACAATACAGTTGTGATAAGAAAAATGGGAGTAGCATACTAGCTTATGCAGATCAAATATGATCACAAGATGAATATGAAGAGGAAAGTGAGGAAAAATGTTCACAGATACCTCAAATATGATTTGGAAACTGAGGAAGAGCAGTCAATGCACCAATATGGCCATGAGAATGAGAGAAAATGAGATAGATCAAGATCTCATAGAGAAAGGAGTACCTTAAGGTCCCAGGGGAGAGAAAGAAACCCTGAAAACAAATTAATAGCTAGAAGAAACACAAGAAAAACAAGGGGTACAAAAACCTTCATTACAAATAGATGTAGTGCTATGTAGATTAACTAATTAGCATATCCAGAATATCCAGTCTATATAACTATGCATGAGAATTGAGCATTAACACAAAGGTGTTAGGACTTCACAACAATTATTAAGTAATTTATATCTGTGATTCCATATACAAAAAGCCAAAAAAATGGTTGACTTTATTTCCTAATTTTTACTTTCTCATAATTATCAAGAACATTTTGCATTTTCTAGCTGATGCTTTTATCAGGAAAATGTTTATGTATAAATACAATGCTTTGCAAGCACTTTGACCAATTCTGTAATTATTTATTGATTTCATATTTTGTTTTATTGCATATGTGTGCATAGTGGAACATTTGTTTATGCAACGTTTATGTTTGAAAATGTATGTCTTTGTAACTCAGTGTTTGTGTAAAGTCAGATATCAAAAGAATTTGCTAAGAACAACTGAGATAAACCAGATGTGCATCCTTGAAAAGCCAAAATAAACTGAGAGAAATCACTTTCCATACATCTAGATTCAACATATCAGTTCCAGTTTGATTCAAAGAAAACATATGAAAAACATTTTGACTTATTAACAAATCAGTGTATCTTCTCAAAAGTATAAAAATGCTAACTCACTGATCCTGTACATTTCCATAAAAGATATATCAGTCAACTTGAGCAAAATATGCAACTGGCAAAAGTCAGTATTCACATCCATATAGAGATGATGCCACTGTATTTCAACTGAACTCCCAAAAACTACTTATCACAAACTCTTTAAAATTATGTCCCTGAACACAAAAGAGTTGTCACTCACACACAAACTTCACTGATGTTCTGCAGAAATGCTGGAATTATTCTAAATTCCTGCATTATTTTAATATATTTTATATCCTTATTGGAATCACATGTTTATTTTTTATTTTTTTGTCACTCTCATAAATTAGGTAAGTAAATGTATATTTCTGTACCAGTGTATCATTTTACTTGTTGTAGGTGTTGCTTTCTTGGTATATAAATCTGATATAACCCAAGTGACATCTTGTAAAAAGTTTATTAAAAAGTCTTTATCATTTCTAGAAAAGAATTCTCAGGAACAAGATGGAAGAACACACTGATTAATGCTTAAAATTACGATAATTCTTTTGCTTTCTCTGATGAATTCTTTCTTTACTTTCATATGTATAGCAATGTGTGAAAAGGCATGCAGAGAGCGAGAATCACTCTTCAAAGAAGAGTTGGAAAAACAAATTCAGGTGAGCCAATAGTTTTATTAATAGTTTCACTGAATAAAATATTTCCAAAGTGAGCTATACTAATCTAGATGCCAATTTAGTAAGTAAATAAATTGATTTACTGAATTTATATAATGGTTCAATTATACATAATTTTCTTAAATGTTCCTCAATGTTATCATTTAATATCTAGTCGTACCATTACAAGCATTTTTCAAAATTCCATTTTAACTATCTAAACCAACCACTCTGCATTGATTAGACCTCTTCTCCTTTTTTATATATAATCTTTATCATTTCACAGTTAAATATGTCACTGCCTTGTCATTAACTTCTTGGTTCATTAATATTGTTATGAATAATCAAGAGTGGTCTCCCTTTGTTTTTTTTTTTACTCTATTGAGAGAGCTATTTCTATTTACTGGGACTATAAAAGGACATTCTCAGTTAAATAAATCTTTGATTCTCAGTTGAATAAAGCTTGGGAAGTTCTTTTTCTTGAATCATTCTGACTATTCAGACGTGCAACAACGAAAATTCGTAAGTGCATTTTTGTCTCTCGTCCATGTACAGTCTTGTAACAGTCTTGTATCAGTCTTGTAACAGTCTTTCGTTTGTTGTATTCTTTTTGCTTTTGTTGAACGTTATATGTGCTGGGTAGGGAACCCACCTCTACAATGGCGGACTCTCCCCAACAGCAGCTGGAAGCGACACCCCCTTCTATGTTGGCATGGGCTACCACGAAGCCAAGGAAAAAAAGCCCCAAGGACTATGTAGCACTTCGGAAAAAATATGATCCGTATACTAAAGGGAATGAATTTTTAATGATTCATGAAGCACTTGATGCAGTGACTAACGAGACAATCTCGTTTTTAACGTCGAACGTCGTAACAAGGTGACCCGTCGGAGTTGGAAGAGAGGCCATGGAGGAGGCTTTAAAAAGCCTCCACATACGTCCCAAAATTCTCGCCAGGAGGTCTAATGAGACAATCCTTTAGAATAAAGAGGGTGATGCAAGGAAACTGGCAGGCAGCGTACTGATCGCTACGACTGCAAATTGAATACATGGGCACTCGGAGAACTAAAGTTTCGTTGCTGGGAGTGCCAATGGACATCATAGAGGAGAGATTGGGGGCCTTTTTCTCCAAGTTTAGACAGATAGAGGAGGTGACAGCAGTATCGAGCAAAACTGGAATAGCCGCAGGGGATTTTGTACTGGGAATAACTATGACCAGAGAAAATTTTGTGGCCATCCCAGATATTGGTCATTGCGGAAGGGCGTCGCCCATTGTTCGTCGTGTGGGCCGGCGAGGCACTTGTCAAAGGCATGCCCCTACAGAAAAGTGGGGCCAAAAGCAACAACACCAGCAACACCAGTACCCAAACCAGCTGCAGCCAAGAAAATTGTGGAGGAGGGGAAATATGGCCAGTATGCTAGTGACGCTGGTGTTTGAAAAGAAGTTGTGAGGAAAGGGGAAAAGTGGGTGAACCCTCCCCCTCAGCAAGACACTTCACCCAAGAAAATAGTGAAGCAGCAGAAGCAGCCGAATGTGAAGAAACAGCAACAACGAAAAGAGCAGGAGAAGGCAGGCGAGCAACAGCAGATGCAGCAGCAACCCAAGCAGGCACAGTCAGAACAGGCAAGGCCTGTGGAAGAGGCACAATTGGAGATGGAAGCGGAAGTAATGCCTCCACCCTGTTCTTCATCTCTAAAAAGAGGGGGGGAAAGAAGGAGAGGAAGTTCGAAAAACGGACAAGAGAGTCAGGCGAAATAGTGCAGACAAAGCCCTGTGTGAAGTCAAGTCTCGGTCCGTCTCGGTTTCGCCTGCAAGAGGGGAGAAAAGTCAGCAGTCACGTCAGGCTTGGAGACTTCCTCCGTCCCCTACTAAAGCTCCACCTCCTCCATTCCCCTCCCAAGAAAAAACGCCATGGAGGCACCATCTTTTCCATCCCCCTCTCCGACACCTAGTGGGGCAACAGCGGAAGCGAAAGATCCGTTCCCAAAAATTAGAATGGTCAGAACTGAGTCGTTCCAACTAAAGAAACTAGCACAATATTGCGCAGGGAGGGTCCCGGTTCTCCTCCACCCCTGTCTATATAGGGCGACTAAATTAACTCTCCCAACTGACGTCGGCGGCATTGTCTAGGAGGGACTAATTACGTCCGACATGGGCACCGGAAGTCTGGGACAATCCGTCGGGGTCTTGACACCCATAGATTTCCGTCCAGTCTGGGATTAGGGGAACCCAACTTAAAAAAAAATGTTTCTCAAGTTAACTAAATGTGAGGGCCATGAGGGATCGGGGTAAGGCTTCCCGCTTGCTTTGTGATCTATCCTTCGACGTAGATGTAGCTGCGATCCAGAAGACGCACTTTGTTTGCAAAGCTGATGCGCATGTGCTGTCTAGCGAATTTGTTGTATATTCAGCATACGGGGACCAACAGGCCAAAGGTGTTTCCTTGCTGGTTAAATGTACCCTGGGTACGAGGGTGGACCTTGTCCACGTCGATGCGAGGCAGGGGGTGTGATCGTGGCTGATATTGCCGTGAACAATAGTTCGTTTTGAGTCGTTGCGGTTTATGCGGACAACGACCTGGTGGATTCGTCGCGCTTAGTGGGGTCTGGAATGCCATTCTGGACCCCGATATAGACAGGAGGCGGGGAGCTAGTGGGAAGTCATTGGGTGATCTGATTAGCGAGTTCGGTCTCGTCGATAGAGAGGAGATTGGGACGTAAGCACGTAAGTAGCTGTTTACCAGGGTAGCCAGCTACCTGGCTAGAATGTTAGTGAGAAGGACCGATCTAGACTTATTAGATTGTTCCACGTTCCACTGGTTAGGCTATTTGGACCATAGACTCGTCTGTGCCTGGATGGCGTTAGGTTCTAGACCTGGAATGCCTGGACACTGGAAGTTCAATTTGTCCTTACTGGACAGGCGGGACTTCCAGCAACAGTTAATTAAACTAGTGCAGCGGAAACTAATGGGAGTGGTTATTGGGAATAGGTGGTGGGATGGGCTTAAGGATGGGATTAAGTCGTTCACCACCGACTATAGCCAGCGGCTAGCACTAATAAGGTGAAGACACTGAAAGATAGTCTGTCCCAGGTGGAGGCTGGGGGATCCCCTAGAGATAAGTTTAGCTAGGTAGGCTCTTGAGCGATCGACTAGCGAGCGCTAGAAGGGTCAGGTAGTTAGGCATAAGTTAAACAAGATGTCTAACGAAACTGTGAACATGGTCGCAGAATTTCGGAAGGAAGAGATCCGTCGAGGTTCCGGTCGTTACATTCGTGAGGTCAAAATCCCAGAGGGGCGTACTCTGAGGTCGACTGACAATATGTGAGAGGCGTTTCGGCGGCATTTCGAGAGCCGATTTACTGGTCTCAGTGGCGATGAGTTTCGCAGCTATTTGGCTGACTTTCCTCGGCTTGTGCCGACTGAAGCGGCTAGCTGCGAGGGTGAGATCACGGAAGGCAAAGTCTACTTGGCATTGAAGAGGGTCGACAGTGGCAAGTCTCCAGGACTTGATCATCCACCGTCACCTCGGCCTACCTCGACTCATTTACAAAGCATTCCCTTTGCAGTTGGCCACAGCAACCTCCATTCCACAAAACAGCTCTACTTCAACTCTTTTACAAGGCATTCCCTTCACAATCGATGCGACAATCTCCATTCCACAGAATAGCTCAACTTCGACTTGTTTACAAGGCCTTCCCTTCATAGTTCACGCAGTGACCTCTGTTCCACAGAACAGCTCTACCATGACTCATTTACAAGGCATTCCCTTCTCAATCGACGCAGCAACCTCCATTCCACAGAACTAGTTTCCCAACATCTGCTGTCATCTCAACTCATTTACAAGGCATTCCTGTTGCAGTTTATCCCAGTGACATTCGCTCCAAAGGACAGCTCTACCTTAACTCGTTTACAAGGCATTCCCTCCACAGTCGATGCACTGAACTCCGTACCACACCAATCCAACGTCACTCTGTTTCAACACAACAGTCAACCTACAACCATGACCTCCATCAAACAAACACGCACCAACATATCCTGTGACCTCAGCCATGCTGGCATAAGAAATGGTTCAACTCCTGACATTATCTGTACACCCGATTGCTATTCCTGTACGCTCTACCAATAATAAATGTTGTTTCACTCTAACCCCCGTTATTCCTTTCTCAAACTTGGTTCATCCATTCTTGGACAACTCTTTTCTCTGGACAAACTTATGTAGTGCTTTGAGATCCTTGAATCAAAATCTATAGATATTATCTGATCCTATTTTGACAATTTTCAAACAGTGAAATCCACTATCTCGCATGCTTTCTTGTTTACCAGATCCAGCTTTCTAGATTAAATCCTTTATGCATCTCATTCTCTAGAACAGATTCTGATCTATGCTTAAAATTAAATTGTTTTTACAGTTCCCAGTGGATCAACTTTCCTACCCATTCATGACTATTCTTGTTTTCCTTCTGGAACAATTTATTACATTTACTGATTATGTAGCTCATTGAATCATTTTCTTTTATTTCCCTAAAATCATTATGTACTGTTTTCCCGTGTGTATCTATCACAATCATTGGTTCTTATGACATTGTTTTGGGCCACTATTATGATTAACTCAGATTTTTGCTTAGGATTTCATATAAATAACCAATACCCATATTGATTTATCTGTCATTCCTTCGGTTTGTCTCCTGAAATGTCCATTTAATTGTTTTCCTTCTCATTTTTCAATTCTCTTTGTTGACTTTCTGTTCAGTCTAACCTAATTTTTAGCTCTTGTCAGTGATCTTTTTCTGCTCTGTCTTTTCTACTCTGAGTTAATTGATTATGGAGTTAATACAATCCTCAATAATAACTAGTCTTCCTCCTTTTTTTAACATACATTTTCTCAACATTGTCTCTCTAATGTCATATGCATTGTTATTGGGATTCCTGTTTTGTGGCCCAAGTTACTAAGGTTCTCTCTTTAAGTTTAAGAATGGTCTGGAGTGCCATATCAGAGAAACTGT